ACAGACACACAGACAGACAGACGGACGGACGGACGGACGGAAATACAGACAGACGCACAAACACGCAGACACACGGACACACGGCCACACAGACAGACACACAGACGGACGTACGGATAGACAGACAGGGAGGCAGGCAGGCAGACAGATAGACAGACAAATGAAGGTGTATTCAGTGTGTTTGCTCCTCCTGTGTTTACCTATTCCCAATCTACACTTATCTATGTTTATGCCTATGTTCTATACATTTAACTATACGTATCTATGTATGCTCGTCTAGTTAGTTATTTATCGCTGCTTGAATTTACGTGTCTGCTTGCATGTATACCTATCTCTTCATTCATGTGCATCTTTGTATCGTTTTGGACATTTTTATGCACTGCTCGAAGTGATTCTATCTGGGCATGTGTGCGTCTATCTATACGTATATATATATATATACATACATACATACATACATACATATATACATATTCATATACACCTGCCAGAACTAAGCCAATTTCGTCTCCATCGCATCTAGCTCAGCCTCAAGGTTCCTCTTTTTAGCGGCCCAGATACTGCGATGGCAAAGCCATACTGCGTGAGGATCAGGCAGAGATCCACCAATATCTTGGCCTTTGCGTAGAGGACTTGACTTGGGGTTAGGTGGTTCAGGGGCTTCTGGGGCTTCGGTGTTGGGCTTGAGGGTTCAGGGCTTCAGGGCTTTAGGCTTTGAAGTTTATGGGGTTTTTGGGGGTGCAGGTCAGCGTTGGGGGTTTGGGTTTGCCCTAAGCCCCCAAATTCAAAAAAATACCTAGCATGGGAGCTGAGCCAGACATCGAGCCTCCGAGTGTAACAAAAGCAACAACCCTAAGCCAAACAGCCATTCCACCAACCCGGAACAAACCCCTAAACCCTAAACCCTAAGCCCTAAAACCCTGAATCCTAAACCCTAAAACCCTAAACCCTAAAACCCTAAAACCCTAAACCCTTAACCCTAAACCGGAAGCCACCGAGGATGAAAGGTTCAGGGTTTAGGTTTAGTCCCATCTCTTGCCAGAACTTCACCCGCAGTTTGGGGTTTAGGGTTTAGGGTTTAAGGTTTAGGGTTTAGGGTTTAGGGTTTAGGGTTTAGGGTGTGCAGACAGTGTCCGCGCGGTGGGTGCGCCTTGTACTTTAGGAATAGGGGCGCACCCTCTAATCGCGCGCTCGCGTTAGCATGTAGTCCCGCCCCAACCACCCCTAGCTTAGGGTTCACCCCCGAACCCCGGGGGCCTCGGTCGGAGCCTCGAGCGCCCATGCAAATGGTCGGCGGCGCTCTCGGCAGTTTAGGGTTTATGGTTTAGGGTGTCCCAGCAGACGCGCTCATAAGCCCAAGCACCGTGAAAGCCTACACAGAAACCGTGCCCAGCAAACATGTACTGTAGTGGCCTTAATAATTAGACTAGGTTTTTGGGGGTTTATGATACTATAAATAAAATAAGGAACCCCCAAGATAATATAGATAATCATTATGGTCCCTATATTGAACCCGAAAGCCTAACCCCAAACCACCCTAAACCCTGAATCCTGAACTCCGAACCTCCGAAGCTTGAATATTCTGTCCAAACCCACAGCCTCCACGGTCGCAGTTACAACACGACTCTGAAAATCTGAACCCTGAACCTTAGGGTGCGCGTCTTAGGGTGTAAGGTCGAGGGTCCTGAACCAACAATCTTAAAATCGTTCAAACCTCAGCGCCAAACTCCCTAACCACTCAAACTTAAACCTTAATCGCTGAAGCCCTTAACATCCTTAACCCTACGATACACTTATGCGGATCCTTTTGAGCCCGCGTGAACCACATACAAATAAGACGACTCGAATAAGAAAACAACACACCAATTCAGAAAGATACAACCAAAAAACAAAGCAACACCACCTGTTTTCTCAGGAAAACAGCATCCAAACCCCTGAACCCTAAACCCTAAACCCTAAACCCTGAACCAAGGACCCTAAACCCTAAACCCTAAACCCTCAACCCTACACCCTAAACCCTAAACCCTGAACCCGAAGGTGCAGGTCCCAGTCACCCGGCCCCCCAGGATACTCGATGCCAGGGCTCCGAAAGACCTCTTTTGGGGTGCTTCTTTCGGCTGCTTTCACGACAGGCAGGGTTTAGGGTTTAGGGTTTAGGGCTATTTATGGGTTTTGCTCATGGGGCTTTATGGTTGAAAGGTGCTCTTAATTCGCTTCTAGGGGCTTCTTTACAAGCTTGCCAGGTGTTTTAGGGTTTAGGGTTTAGGGTTCAGGGTTCTACAAATTCCCTGTAACGCCACAGAAGGCTTCTAGAGAGGCTTCAGAGGCTCAGGGTTAGGGGTGTAGGTTGCTACTTGCAGGGGTGACGGTTTAGGGTTTAGGGTTTAGGGTTTAGGGTTTAGGGTTTAGGGTTTAGGGTTTAGGGTTTAGGGTTTAGGGTTTAGGGTTAGGGGTGTAGGTTGCTACTTGCAGGGGTGATCGGTGTGGCACTGTGTGCTGTAAGCGGCTCAAGCCGGCTTTATGAGAGTTTCGCAGGGTGTCTCAGGGGGCTCCTACGGTTTTCCAAAGGTATTATGGAGTTCTCATGCCTGATGGAATTAAATGTGTGTTCTATAAGGCGTTTAGTGCGTTCTGGCCTTTCTTTTCGGCTGCATTGGCCCGTAGGCCTCAGTGACGTTTTGGGGCTTGGTGCGTAAGGTTCGGGAGAGCTGAGGGAGATGATGGGGCTTTCTGGCGAAGGTTTTTAGGGTTTTTTTTTTTAAATGCAGTAGCCCTTTCTCCCGCAAAGGTCAACAGGCTCACTCCGAAGAGCGTGCACTCCAAAATAACAGACAGCAGAAGAAGCAGACACCTAGGGCCCACTTGTCGTGACGTCTGGTGCGCCGCTTTACTCTTTTAGAAAGGCTTGGTCAGCTCACTCAGTCTACGCGCTCAGCTTCGCTCGAGTTGGTGTTGGCTGCGTCGGCATTGCACTCATCATCTCTACTGCGACTGCGTGAACGTGCTTCATGGCCAGACCCTCTCGTCTCAGGCATCACTGTGTCACTGGTCGTCAGCGTCGCAACAGGAGGCAAGGTCAGCGCAGTCGCGACAGGCGGGACACTCGACGGATTGGCAACCATCGGCCTCCTGGAAGGTGCCGCCGTGGCCCGTCTTGCCGTGGACGTAGTCGAAGAGCTTAGCGTGGTAGTGCCTGGCCCACAGAAGTGTCTCTGCCCCCGTCTCCGTCCACCCATCCCACGAAGTCGTCGTTCATGTAGAGGTCTGTCTGGTGGGCGACAGTCAGAGGGGAGGTTGGGGACAGGTACCTCACCATCTGCTTGGATAAGGTAGAGGTCCCTGTCGTCTTCTGAGGGCCATCGACTCGCCGGCACTTCCCGACCATGTCTTCTATAGAGTCTTTCTGCATGGTTCCTCCAAGCACGACGTCTATATCCCACAAGGGTCGCCTCATCAAGGTCGGGGTTGACTGCATGCAAGTCCTCCACTCGCTGTGGTAGTCCAGGCTGAAGAAGAGCAGCAGGTTGTCCTGTAGGAATCACCGTCATGGTAGAGGAGGGCCCATGCCCATTGGTTGCTTCCGCCGAGATCACCCTCCAAATGGCGGCCTCCATGGTTGCCGCGTTGAATGGTAGTTCA